ATGGAAAATAAGGGAGAAAAGTAGCAAGAAACGAAAGCAAAAAAATAATAAAATTGACTAAAAAATAAAAGTTTCAAATAAGCATATATGAAAATTCTTACATGTCAAAGATCAAATGACGAGGGATGGGGGGGGCTAGGGAGAGGGTGTAACAAACATAGGTACAACTCCATGGCTGCTCCTATTTTATAGAAGCTTTCGCAGGAAGCGATAATCGTCGACCAATACCCTATTGAACTGGAATAAGTGCAAGACCTCAGGACTAAGGAACAGCAGGGATTACTATACTTTCTCTCCGGCTGAATTTTTTTTTCCATTAGGGAGTGAAACCGGAAAAATCACGATCTAGTTATATTCTTTGCGTATTGGTCGGGAGGAAAGAAACAGGAGGGTTACCATCCCTACTCATACAAAATGTTGGATGCCTCGCGAGTGGAAATTCTCAAGTATTATTGAAATATCTCTTAATGCCGAGTCCTTTCACGCAAACGTGGAAAAAGATGGATTGTGAAGCAAGGGGCAAGCATGAAAAAATTTTTGGGCAAGTAGTGAGACAGCGGCGTCCTGGCGCCTCGCATCTCCCATGCACGGGAAGAGAAGTCTAAACAGGGAAAAAAATGAGTGAGAGAGGGAAAGAAGGATCACGCTTCGTACAGTATGCTGGCCATTTGAGGCACAACTGGGAAAAATCCTATAATGAATACCTAATCCTCCCGGTTCACCTGGAAAGGCGATGTAGGTGTTATCTGGCTATTTCGTCACTCCATTGACTCTGAGGAAAGCAGCTCGTGATCGTAGACGATGAAAGAGGCAAGCAGGGGAAACACGGTCAATTGCTGCAACATGGGCTCAGTCAAATCGTTCTTGGTCAGAGGAGACTCACATTCGCGCATGATTCGACAGCCAATTTTCATAGTCGCTTCGAAATATATCATACTCGTTTTGAGGATACTCGGTCCAAAGGGTTGAACTAATTCCTTATCCCGATTAGGTCCTTTTTCCAAGTCTCGGAGATGCAAAATATTGTGACGGATGAGGATGGCATTTCCCGGCCGTTCCTCGGCTTTCTTTCGGCCTCTCACGCCTTCCGTCGTCCGTCCATCGTTCCTTCCTCCGTAAAAATATCAGAAAGTGCCTTCTTTCCTTGTGAGAGAATGAGGGGAGGAAATATTTAAAAGCCCCTCTGTCTATTAATTAGCATGTATTTTGATCCTTTGAGCTCTCCCTTCGTTGCGTAGAATAATTTGGATCCCTTATAAAGTTTTATGACCTGCTTCATTCATCCCTATGAATTTTTGTTTCCTGTCTCCATTTTAATGCCCCCAAAATTAACAACCTTGCCGAAAGACATTCATCCGCACCCATGTTTTCATCAGGAATGCCTTCAGGAGAGAGTAGACAGGTTAGGAGCGAGCGGCGACGTGCAGAGTGGACTCTCAGGAGGGAAAAGCGAAATTGGAGCATTTGATTTAAAAAAAAAGGCGTCAGAGGTACAAGGAAAAAAATCAAAAGCGATAGGCGCCAGTTGAAGTCGCGTCGGTCCCCTTCCCCCTTTTCACTCACACTAACACACACAATCACGAGCACGCACAAGTCTGTGCGAAGCGGGAGGGAAGTCAAAAAGGGAAGAGCTGCGCGCGAGCATTCAAGTTTTCATGCAAATCGGTAATTAAAGCCTCGCATTCTCTATCCCTTTGGAGACAAGAAGCAATCTTGGTGTCATTGGATCCGTGAAACATGCCTCTATGGGATAGGCAAAAAAATCCTGCATTCTAGGCTGGTGAGAAGAGAAAATCGACCCAGAATGGAAGAAATGACCTAAATCGTCAAAGAGGCCGCAGGGAAAATCGATAGGCTTCTAGGATTGCGGACGGATTCTCATGAAAATTTATATTAAGCTAGCCAAGAGACTTTTAAAGAGATCTACCAGAGGAATTTTTGAAATTCAGTCTCGTTTTCGATTATCGTCCGTCAACCTCGCGTCCCTTCCAAAAAAGGGGATTTTTCAGGGGGATCACCGAACACTGAGGGGGAACGGTAGGAGGAAACCATGCGCAACTCCGCAAAAAGGTGGACCATATTAGCCTCCAAAAACTGAAGCATGCTCTTGCCGATAGAAAATTTCTACGAGGAATAAGAACGAAAAAACAGAATCCGAAAACAGAAAAATTCTCAGTTATTGCGTCATGGCGTCTCGGGAACGACAGTTGCATACGAGTATTTATTTTTTCCATATAGCGCTCTATGTCTCAAGGAGAATGTTGCAAATTTCACGTTTCTGCGACCGAGGGTTGGGGGATGGAGATTTTCAAAGAGAAGCATGCAAATTTTGACCTTTGACCACAGATCATGGCCCCGGGGATGACCTGAGAGAGCCAGCAATCGGCTCCAAGGCCCTTTCTTGAGGTCCCTACAACAATTAAAAAGCGGAATTTTGATCCAGGGGGGTCGATTTTTATGTTCCCGTAGTACCTTAAATCCCATCTTGAATTGAACCGTTTCCTAGTTTTTATTTTTTTTAAAAATAATTTGCAGAAGAACGGAAGCGTGGCCGAGAACGTAAAGATTGAACATAGTCTATTCCCTTACGCAATCCCAGTTCCTCACAGGAGCAGACGACGTGACCGCGAGCTGATCGACGGAGAGATGAGAGCCTTGACTGGGAAACGAGGCTCGTGCTCCCATACTCTGTAACGGGCCATCAAAGGTTCTTTCATTTCCCTCTTCTCAATTTCGAAATCTGCTCCATTCACGAAATATCTTATGAAACAAGATTTGTAGTCAATGGTCTATCCAAGCCAGTGGTATAAATTGTGTATCTGTCCGACCATGTTTAAGTGAGATAAACGTGCACAAAGAATCATGTTTTCATGATCCATCTCTCTCGACATTAGATGTCGCCGTTTTCCTACAAACACCTTGACGAATACAGGTTTAAGAGAATTGTTTTTTATCAAGATGTTTGACCAAAAATGAGCCCTAGGCTGTGGCATACATGCAAGGTAGGTTCAAAAAGTTTCGAGACTAGATTTATTGCACGCGATCGGTGAATGTTACGGCACTATTACTGTGTCACCTTCACCTGCGCCAGTGTCTGAAACAATTTTTCCTTGAGGATGCTTGTATAGAGCCTGGCATCCATTCTTCCTTGGATTTGACAGCCAAACCCGACTCCTTTGGCCGTCATGCAGCCCCAAAAAATCAGGCCACCTCCACCATACTTGAGGGTCCCCCTCACGTGCCGCTCTGCTAAGGCTTCGCCGGGCTGATTCCATGTCCAATCACGCCCATCCGACCTCATAAGGTTGATTTTTGTCTCGTCTGACCAAATTGTGCGTTTCCAGTCCTCTACAGTCCAGTGTTGGTGGCGGGGGGCGAATTCTAGCCGCTGTCGGATATGCCGCGGCTGGAGTTGCAGCTTCTTTCGCTTGGTCGTTGCCCTCAGACCAGCTTCTTTCAGGACTCTGCAAACAGTTTTGGCACTGCAGTCTACCGAGGTGTTGCTTTTGAGCTGCCTCGTCGCTTGCACTGCCGTATCAACTTGACCCGATGTCACCACCCTGATGACTCTGCTCTTGTAGGCGGCGGAAAGCTTGGATGGACGCCCACCATTGCTCTTTGATGCGTCGGGTCTGACTTGAGAACGCACCCAGGATACGGTGCTATAGCTTATGCCAAGCTGGGCTGAAATTCGACTCGTCAAGAGGCCTAATGGACTGGCAAGTCGTAGGAGTCTCGTCAGGGGCACGATTCTACCAAACAACTTGCAGTGTAGTAAAACCCTTTTCGACATCTCCACACCAGGGAATGATCATTAAGGAAGAAGACAGTGGCTGCCGCAACAGAAGTAACAGAAAGTTGCCACAGCTTAAGTATGTCCTACATGCACTGCTCCTGCATAGTCCATTAGTTGGATGGGTTCACACCTTTGGTTCCCAGAGGAAACTAGTGCAAGGCGTTCTGTGCATGTCCATCAAACGCGGATCTTCCAGGGAGACACGCTGTCTCCTCTCTTCTGTCTGGCTCTCAATCCACTCAGTACCGAATTGTCTCGGATTGAATGCGGCTCATTGCGTAGGAAAGGGGAAGAATGCAGACCATCGCCTAAACCACATTCTCTAATTGGACGGCCTAAAACTTTACGCCTCCAACGAGAGGGAGCTCGATAGCCTACTCAACGTCGTCAGCATCTTCTTGAAAGAAAGCTGAATGAAATTCGGACTCGACAAGTGCGCGAAACTCTGTCTACCGCGAAGTCCTTACCCCCATGGGCGACATCACCACCATCAACGACGAACAACTCCGAGAGCTCACGGCCCCTGACACCTATGAATATGTACATAGGTGTGGAAGAGAACTCTTTCATGGCTGCGAAGCGCGCAAAGCAGAGACTGACGACAGAATACAAACGCAGAGTCCGCCTCGTACTAAGGACTGAGGTGTTCAGCAAAAATAAGACCTCTGCCCTCAACAGCCTTGCCATGCCTGTACTCAACTACAGCTTCAGAGTTATCGATTGCTCACCTACGGAACTCCAGGCCATCGTTCGAGCGACCAGAAAACTCCTGACCATGCATCACACCCACCATCCGAAGGCTGCCGTTGAAAGACTCTACCTTCCGAGATGCAAGGGGTGGAGGGGACTGATCGAACTTGAGTCCCTCTATAAGCGGACGACGTGCGAAGTCGCCAGATATATCGAAACGAAGCAGGGAAGACTCATTCCCATCCTGAGAGAGCGAGATGCCCTGAAGAAGTCCCACTCAGGACACATAGGATTGCGGACATACAGACGCCCAAGCATAATAAATCCTTCCATGGCAACTGTTGGTATTGGAGGTGTGAAGGGGGACGAACCACATCCCAGACCTCATATTCACCCTAATTCTGAAGGATACCGTGGAGGATATTGGACTCGCCCAAGATTGCTGTACGCTGGAGGATATCGAGTGATATTTCACACTCCAGCTTCCTGACATGTCCCTTGAGGTCTTTCTTCTTTACGACGCCAGTTGTTCCAAGCTTGGATCTTCGTCTTCACTTCTTCTATGGTGGGTCGGGAGATCGGCATCGGAAGTGATCTTGCACTTTGGGCACAGCCGCTTGTATGTCAGTTTCACTTTCCGGGATGTGTTCCCCTTCTTGATCTCCTGAAGGGTGCTCAGGTCTCGCCTTGCTGCATCGATCCAACTTTGGAGGCGCCTCTTCCACCCAAGCGGGTCACACCGCCTCTTCCTTTCCCTATCCGGATCCCGCAACCCGCGACGGACTGTATTGTATTGTACTCGTCGCAGTCCAATGGGACACTTCCCCTTCAATAATTTTGCCGATGCATCGGGATAGTAAAAAAAAAAGCTATCGATACCTCCAACTATCGATAGTGGTATCGATGCATCGATCTATCGTGACAGTATTAGTATTTAGTAATACATTTGAAAAACACTTGAACAGGCTTTAACATGTGTTTGACCGTCTTCGCACGGCTGGTTTCACCTTGACACCTGATGAATGTCATTTCCTTCGTCGTCAGGTGGAATGCTTGGGACATGTGGTATCCAGTCAGGTTGCAAGCCGAGGTTTTAAGAAAATTGAAGCAGTTAAGAAGGTACAGTTTCCAAAGACAAAGAATTTAGGAGTTCCTTTGGACTAACCACCTACTATAGTCGTTTTGCGAAAGATTTCAGTTTCATTGCCAAGTTATTTATAGCTATGACTGGAGAAGCAGGCGAAACTCAGTTATACCCCAGGGGCCTTTCAAGTTTTTAGTCCGCTGAAGAGAGCCTTGGAGGAAGCATCAATATTATCATATCCTGGTTTAACATAGCCTTATATTGAGGAAACTGAAACTTCAACAGTTGGGGTATGTGCTATGCTGACACAGAAACTGCAAGGCAAAGAGAGACCAATAGCATATGACAGTCGTGTTTTGTCGAGCAGAGCGAAACTACTCAGCCACTGATAGAGCGCCTCTTGCTTGTCTGTCGGCCACTGAGCAATTCCGTCCATATTTAGCTGGACGCACTTTTATCCTAAGAACCAACCATGATCCCGTTCGTTACCTGAGAGACATTAAGAATCCGACGGCATGGATGAGTAGATGGGTTTTACACCTTGAAAAATGCCTATATGCTACTAAACATAGGTCAGGAATATCTCATGGAAATGCAGAAGGGCTTTCAATATTACCACTGCAGCTTCATGATTCAGGTGATGTGGATGATTTTGTGGACAAAGAACTATTCCCTCCTGAGAATCCCGTTACTATTCATGACGAGCAAAAGTTTTCTAGGCAATTTGTGGCATTTTTTCCAAACCATCTTGAGCAAACAATGTCTGTCACTACACAACTCCACCCCAAATCTTAGAGAATCTCAGAGAACCGCAGGCGTTCAAAGGTGAGTGAGGTGGGAAGCCCTTCGCGATGAGGGAACTCTTGGCGAGAGAACTAGCTGGTGATATATCCCTGATTGTGCTAAATATAGCACGTTTCAGGAAAAGGTCCACCCACAATGTACATGCATTCAGCCATTCTGTTCCTCATCTTGTCGTCAGGATAAGGAAATGACGGATTGATCTTAGGGTCTCTCTTTTCTCTACTTTTATTCTTGTGTGACACAATCGCTCGGTTTTGGAAAGGTTTCTCCTTGAGAAAATGAGCTTGTTTTTTGGCCTAGTCTCCCTGAACCAGTTTCAAAGATGAAGATAACAAATGAAGAAGTGCCTTGTTCCATGATACCTGGAAGTAGGCTCGGCGAGATATGTGACCGAGTAGTATAGTTTCCTGTGAGTGACGATTCCAGGGAACGGAGGACACTTTTGGGTAGTGTTCTAAAAGTGAGACCTACGTCAGGGAAGGAATTCCCCGACGGGTAGAATGCATCGAAATATGTTGACCATTAACAGCCAATATCAAAGAGAGGAATGTCAATTAAGAAAGGAACTTCCCAGCTTTATTAGGATATAGGTTTGAATTTTAAAATTTCAGATAAAAGGAATGAACAAATGTCGTCTTCTGCAATAGATCAGCGCCCGCGTGCCAAGCGTATGGGACTCTTGTCTCGCAATATTGTATAATACTGAAAAGACGGAAAATTGATGAACGCATACTTGAAAGGGAAATGGTATATACAGGGTGAGTCAAAAGTCCCCTCCGCTCTTTGAATGGTAATAACTTTGGAATGCCTGATCGGATTAAAATCCGGTGTGCACCATTCGAAAGACAAGACAAATCCCTATCTATGAGCAGGATTTCATTTTATTATGTTTATTATGTAACAATTGGGAGGAGGTAAATCAAATATCTATTTTTTGGTATTTAAACGCATTCATACTTGAAACCACGTCCGCGTGCTGGGTTTGATTGAGTGTCTGATGAACTATGTCCTTTGTGATTGATATCCCTGGAACACTTACAGGAAAATTAGCGAGAAACGACTGAGTGTTGATATGCGAGTTGCTATTGTTCGCCTTTATTCCAAATTCGACCAGAACGCAGCGGAAACCGCTCGACAATTCAAGAGGAAATTCAATGGAGAAACTGTCAGCCGGAATTCGATCGTCCATCTCAACTCGAACTTTGACAAAACTGGCACAGTTGCTGACCTTACCCGCTCTGGACGCCCAAGGACAGGTCGTTCTGAGGAAAATATTGTTATGGCCAGCAATAAGATTTCTCAATCGCCTGGAAAGCCAACGCGACGCATGTCAGCAGAGACTGCAATCTCTCAGTCGTCGGTCGAAAGAATTTTACGGGATGATCTCAAGCTGAAGTCGTATGTTCCATGTCTTGTTCAAGAACTTTCTGAAGACGACTTCGATGAGTTCGTAGGACCATTCTTCTTTGGAGATGGCGCTGTGGATGGCGACCAGCATCTCAGCATGTTGGAAAACCAGATGTGGCCAGCGATTGCAGCCCGCAGTGACATAGATGTATTGGTTTTCCAACAGAATGGAGCACCCGCTCATTATTCTCGTCAAGGCGTGAATGGTTAAACGACAAATTTGAAGGAAGATGGATTGGGCGTAGAGGACCAATCGAATGGCCACCTCGTAGCCCTGATTTAACACCGCCTGATTTTTGGCTTTGGGGCTACCTCAAGGACCTTGTCTACGCAGAGAAACCACACAGCATGGAGGACTTGAAGAAGGTGATCCATGAAAAGATGAAAGGAATCCCGATGGACATGATTGCACGTGCGACGGAATCCGTCACACAACGCGCTCATCGACTGATTGATCTCTATGGTCGTCAATTGAAAGATTAATTTTTGTTTCCTTAGAAATTTGGGTTTTTGCCTTTGTTTAAAGTGAAGATGTAGCGATTCTTATAGAGAATTGTCCTGTCTTTCGAATGATCCAAACCGGAATTAAATCCGATGACTCAGTCACGAGCTATGAACGGTCAAAAGGTGGAGGGGACTTTTGACTCACCCTGTATATCGACATACCTCGACGATATCTCGACAGATTCATCCCTGATGCTGCTGCAACAATTGTGCATTATCTACAGGGGCCTCATAGTACCGATCCATCCCTTTACTTTTGCTAGGAGTGTACTCAGATGGTGTTCAACCAGGGATTGAAAGGAGAAGAAAATGAATGGAGTGGGATGAATCGAGAGGAGTAGTCTGTGCGCTCGAGCATAGTCTATCACGAAAAATGACTCTGTCCTTTATGATCATGGCAATCAGTTCAACTGAAAATTGCGACAAACAAAAGAAGCGTGAGACACCTCCCATAAGTCTAATTTCACACCCAGGAAAACTGAACTTATAATTGAGAAACTTTCCACCTGCTTCCAAGACGAAGAAAAGCACCTAAGAAATACAAATGTGTCTTCCAAAAAGAGAAACTCGTAACAATTGACATATTCGGACTAGTACAAGAATGTTCAGTCGAAAAAAGAGGGCCAGCCTTGATGTCATCATCTGCTTTACTTCAGAAATTGGAGATGTCTTCCGTTGCTGCGTCATTTTGGAAGCTATGGCTTCCGAAATGACGCCGCAACGCATCCCATTTTTGGATTGGTGCGTTAGGAATCTCACTGCACCGTGTGCAGAAATAGGTAGGGCCGGCCCTATTGACAACATTTGAAAAGAAGTTCCTCTATGGGGTGACGAAATCAAATAAAGAAGTCTTAAAAATGAATGCACCACAACCTTTAGGAACTCCATTTTACAAAAGAAGGGAATAGTCTTTTACTAAACGGTACATCAATACCTTTTACGCCTTAGAGCATGAGTGCCACAAAGAGCAATCAATCAACCTATGCCAGTGTTTCCCAACATATATGTGAATAATTTCCGAAAAGCCTACGCACGGGCTCAATGCCACAGTATGCTAATGACATAACTCTATGGTACAGTGATCAAGCAAAAATCAAGAACAGGGCACAACAAGATTGAGATAAATGACATGGATACTGCCGAACATATCCAAGTAGCCATGGGTGATCCAAAACTCATCCACCATTATTCCTTACTCGTGTGGATAATTTCGCCTATGGCGAAGGGAAACTGTCCCTTGTTTGAGAGATAAGAAAGGGAAGTCGGGAGTTTCACCTAATCGCTTCTATTTAAGTTCCTTCCAGGAACGTGAGTGGACGAAATGGTAAACGTACAGAGAGTACTCCATTCCCATGCATTGAACAATCAGCATACAAATGTTATCCCACTGCGACCAGGGGTTATTACTGCATCCCACGATGATCATAGAAAATGGTTTTCCTAAAGGGGATCTCTATGGATACACAAAGATGGTCATCCAATAGGCCATCAAATGTTGGTCGGAACCGCTCTTCTCCTACCAACATCTGGACAATGACACGGATTGAGAAAATTGTTTTCAGGCAGGATTTTTGTCTCAGTCAATCCAAAGTAGCGGTATATATACTTCTATATATATATATATACCAATGTAATAACTATGTGAACACATTTTATGACCTCTAGATACTAACTGCTTCCACTGGTGGCTCTCATGCAATATCCTGCATCAGCTGATTACATATCCATAGAGTGACATGGATCAAATTCCATTCATTAAGGTTCTTATTAGCATACTGTGTGTACTTTGCCTTGAGATCAAATATGGGTTTCCTATAGACTTTCATGGATTGTCTTTCGAATGTCATACCGATAGTTCCTATAAGAAATACAGAGGGTGCTCTTTAGGAAGCCCAAGTTCCCATGGGCTACCAAAAGGAAACTCCTGGATCATATAAGAAACCAAAACGTTGTCCTATATAGGTTAACTGCAGGACCTCATAAGATCGTATAAGAAATCTAATACTCCTTAAAGAAAACCTGCAAGATCTTTAAGAAATCCTATAGGATCTTTCCGTAAGGGCGACGACGCCTTCCTTCTTGTAATGCAAAAATGTTATTATCCAAAATAAATGTTGCAAACTGTTAATCATGTCTAAGTCACCGATCGGAAGGTTCCTCTTCCTTGCTATGTTTTTTCAGTACGTGGTATGTACGATCAGAGGTGTTGCGCAGCTGCATGTGGTAGGGATCAACTTAAAAAAAAAAAAAATTTTGTTTATGCACGGACCAGCAAATATTTCTGCCTATATTACAAGTTCCTTCATGTTCGCATCTCCGACGGGAGATGTGCCGATAAATATGCAAATAATTGTTGACTTTTCCAGAGAAATTTATTTCTGTCAATAAACTTCAAGGAGCACATTGCAAAATTATCATTGAGAAGGCACTGACATTCCATACCATGAAACTACCGCCTCCGATAGCTCCTCGCGGAAGGCCTCCTATCGCCTTCTCCTCTCCTTCGTTGGTATGTCTGCATGTAATTGATGAAGGGTAAACACTTTGTTCACCCCCTACATCTTTTAATTTTAGTCTTGCGAATGTTACATTATAGAATTTTGGATAATAAACAGATTTAAGGATCCTGTAATATTTTCCTGATAGTGCCAAATCTCTTCTCTACAAGAATGTCAAGTTTCTTCGTCTATCTTTCACACTTAAAATGTGCTACGCTCTCGAAAAAGTATTTGCGACTTTCATTCATTTTCTATGATATTGAACCTTGTTTCCTAAAAATCTCATGTCATGTTTGGCAATGCGAAGTGGTTTCACGTACAACAGCATTAAACAGTTCTATTATCTGATGCATATGCCAATGTTTACATGAGAATGCGTAAAATTTATTCAGGCGATTTTCCTGTCACTCCCGTCTGCTTCAAATTGTTATTTCTGAATATCCTTCACATAAAAAAATGGTCCCTAGTTCATTGTAAAACTCACACGATCCGGACTTGACCGTACACTAGATGGAGTGGTATTTCTTCCATGGATCCCCTGCAAGATTGGACAACACAAATTCAGATAAATTTGTTGGGTGTTTTCTTAAAACGGTGCAAAACTGGAATGTTACAGTAAGGTATTTTCTTTGTATGAGAAATGTGCAAATGTATAATCAATGATAAAAGATGCATTTTGTAGTAACTAATGACATAAATCTCTCCAATTCTAAATATCCTGCAGATAGTTGGATATAATATATAACTATTACAAACGGGCATGAGTCGGCCGCTCAGGAGACATTCATCGTAGGTTCATGCAAAGAAATTAGTCCATTGAAAGAGGACGTAAAAAAAAAAATTCATCCACACGATGCTCTCTAACTTGGATGGGGCAGCAGACAAGTTATTTCGCCAAGCAAGATTCCTACAACGTAATCGAAATGATGACTGAATGGCTGATATCACGAGTAACTTCCTAATGCTGTTGGAAGAATTCCCCGGTGCTTCGCATGTGATTCTTAATTTTTCCCCGAATAGGAAAATGTTAAATACATCGAAATTTCTTATTACGATTGTCTAAATAGGTAAATAGCCCGGGTAGCAACCAGGAAATTCCGGGTGAAAGAAAGAAATCGAGTTACAACCTGTCTCTGAGAGTTAATGATAACAATGACAATGAACCACGAAATTATTAAAAGTCTTAGTGTTGGACGTGCCTGGTTTCTCAATAAAGAACAAGACCCTAATGGTATGTATTTAACTTGTAACTACGTAACTCCGGAATGGGAAGAGAACTAGTTGCATGATTTATTACTAGATCATATAACGTACCATTCCCCTTGAAGGAAATTGAGCCCCTAAGAGGAAAATAGCACTCCCAACCAGTACTTAAGAGATTCATCAGCATAAAAGCATTGGCTTGTATCAATCCACCTCAAGTGATGTGATGACCTGTGCTCGACCACCTCAGAATTTAAGGAACTTTTCAACCTTAACTTGTCAAGGGACACTTAGATCCAGATGATATTGGCAGAGAGGTCATTAGTCTGAGGTCATTAGTCACTTCCACAAGATGGTGCTGTATCCCAATAGAGGGCGCTGTTGCTAACCAGGTGACAGGGCGATTTTAAAAAAGTTCCACAGGTTTCAACGGGGAGAAAGTACGTTTCGTGTATTCGTGTAAAGAATATTAGATTCATAAATTCCTGATGCTGGATATAGGATGTGTTGAAAAGATTGCCTTGTTTTTTTTTCTGGACAATTCCCTGGGCTATGTATTGTCGTGTTACACAGTTGACAGGTGGAGCATGACTCCTTTTTTTCAATCACACTCGGTCACCCAGTCAACAGCAACGCCCTGTGTCGGGATATAGCGCCATCTTGCGAATTGAAAAAAAACCTATTACATTCATGAACCTCTCTGTCAAGTATCAGCTGGATCCAACTGTCCCCTGAAAAGTGAAAGCTGGAAAAATTCATTAAATTCTGAGACTGTCGACTACGGATAATCGCCTCACTTGAGGTGGAATGATCCAGCTCTAAGCACGGTTAATTCGCCTCTAAATGGGCATTGTACAACTTAGGCAGGGGTGCTGAAGAAAAGCTGGCAAGCATTTCAACACCTTGTAACTGTCGAATATCGATCGCGTATCCACACTATTGCTTTTTGTTACATTGATGAAAATGTGTTTCTCCCATAGAAAACGGTAGAGGTTTTTTTTTTAACCACCCTATACTTAAATGGCTCCATCACGATCGTAAATGTAAGACAACTGCAATCTATTCGAATATTTCCGGGAAGTAGAGGTGTGGTGGGGGGTGAGAGGGAACGTGTCAGCCCATATCGGAATTTATCCTCGTGGGTTATCCTTTTTAGACCTTTTTGCAACATAACTATTGAAAGACCATATTGCCATATCGAGAAAATATCGATCAGAACCCCTACCGCCCACCTCCACCCCAAAGAGAAATGTGTTCCTCCTGGAAATATACTGCTAATTTTTTTCCGAATATCAGTGTCCTAGCCTTCCATTTTCTCCTACATTTTTGGAAATATGTTACTCCAATTCACCTCCCCGAATTTAAGGAGAAAAAATATTTAAGCTAAAATTCTTCCCTTAAAAATGTGCTCACAAAGGATATACCCCAAAAGTAATACTAATATTTACCTTGAAATCAGTGTCCTCGGAACTACGTGCATTCTGAATTTCAACTTTTTAAACCCGACCATTTTTGTTGCAGAGATAGTTTTGGGAAATACATAGTCCTCAAAAGTCACACATTCCCTCACGGTCGTGCATTTGCAGGGTCACGGATTTGCTGTAATTTATAGTGCTAGATGTTGCATTTTATTGTTCTGGCTCTTTCTTATCTAACTTTTTCAGTTTGTGGCAGTATTAACGCACTTTTTCATGATTCTTAATTTCAGGCAACTATTGTAGAATTTGAGCATCAACTTCTTTTAATTTTCTGGACTATTAAATCCCCAGTTTAAAATGTGTCAGGCATTCTGGGACGCCCATAGATTTCGTTTCTGCTATAATTTATGTCATTCTCTTATTTAGTAATTCTTATTTATTCACTTGCCTGCTGAGAAGCAACAGATAACTTGGCCATGTGTATGGCTCCATGTCTTGTCTGGTGCGCTCCATCCGTCTTATTCACATATATTATCCCAGGCGGACATTTCTCCTCCAGCTCTTTTTTAGAAAGTAACCTGCATTTCAGAGGAATTAAGAACCGTCAAATGCAATTGCTTCAACCTCTTCACCAAATGTTCCCAGTATCCTTACCTCTGAGATTGTCCGTGACGGGAAACTCCCATGACTATCCACAAACCAGTACTATCTGTGAATATCACGAACACCACCTCATTCTTGGCTATAACGCCTTCTTCTTCCAATTTAAAGAAGCACTCCCATGGGAAGTGCGTTCTTGCTGGGAAGAATTTCGATGGTAGCACAAGAACCTCCCGACTGGAATCCATCTTCGAAAATAGCGTTAATGCAGGAAAATTTTTATTATAGGACATATTTCATGACCCAGGAGCTACGTACCTGGAACCGAGTTTCCACAGCCTCGAGAAAGTACACTCTTGCAAAATGAAAAGCCAAAGTTGCTGTAGCCATGAAGATTGTCCCAACACGGGTTTCGTGCTCTCCAGAGGTATCATCCACAGATTTCATTCCTTCAGGGCAATTTTTCCCTTCTAGTTGCAGTTTTGTAAGTAAAGGCACCCTGATTCCAAAGGAACAATTAACCAGAACTCAATATGCTTTCTCATTTTCAAAAAATGTGTCGAGTTGCACTTGCCTAACACTGGACCGTGAATTCACCGAAACCCCCTGGATCTTCCATGAAGGAGGATCCGCATTTTTGCTGATAACAAAACATATCGCATATTTTGGTATAAGTCCTTGCGCTTCAAACTCAAACAGATGGTTCTCCCAATTTTGGCATACAGATGGTAGTTCCAAGATCTTTCCGCTCTCATGCACCTGTAATTTGACCCAGGAGCACAGGAATAATTCTCTGATCTAACAGGTTATATAACCTGGTATTTGCCTACCAAGAATCTCGAGTCCAAAGCCCGTAGAAGTAGAAGTCGTGGTTCAGCGTCCATCAAGCTCTTTTTGGCCATCTGGATAGCTCCTTCACGGGTCTCATGTCTTCCCCAGGATCTGCTGGGATCTACAAATTTGATCCCTGGCAATCCTGACTTCTCTTGCAGCTCTGAGTTTTGAAGCATTCCCAATTCAGCATGCAGAAGCTGCCTGTATGCGTAAGAAATTCAAGAATAAATAGATTCTGTTTCATTCATTTAATTAGAAGGATGCCTTGAACGACACTTTCCTCATAATGGAACAGTCTGAGTTGATGGAAAGCCCTTGGACCTTCCACACTTCGGAATTTTCATCCTTATATACGATGAAGCACACCTCCAATTTTGGTATTATTTCTTTTGCTTCCAGACGGAAGAATAGTGTCCTATATTGGAACCATCCAGTGGATAGCTCCAGGATCTTACCGCTAGGATCAACCTGTGAAGATCTCTTTTGTACTAACCAGTGTCACATTATTGACTACATCATCTGGATTCTTCCTACCTCGAACCTCTTCCCCACAGCCCTGAGGAGCTGTAATTCAGGACTAGGATCCTTCAAACTCTTTCTGGCCATCTCGATGACTCCATCACGTGTCTGATGTTCTCCAAGGTGTCCATTTGCATGAACGAATATGCTTCCTGGAATCCCTGACACGGCTTCAAGCTCTGGACTTGTTAGTCCTCTCCATTCCTTTGGGAAAAGCTGTCTGCATCCACGAGCAATTCAGGATAAAACAGATCCTACTGTTATTTCCATTTAAAGAAAAATGATTTGAGTTGCACTTGCCTATGCTTGCCATGAACAGGACCGATTCCAACAGCCACAATCCTCCAGTTGCCAGAAGGTTTGGGAAAGATAACGAAACACACATCATATTTCTTTACCTCTCCATTAACTTCCAAGGAAAATAGGTGTTTTTCCCATGGGCACCCTTTTGATAACTCCAGGATCATCCCACTCTTATCCACCTGTGGAAGATTTTCAGAGTAGAATTTCCCTGATATGACAAACTATCTGTTCTCGGATCTGCCTACCTGAAATCTTTTATTCAAATCCTTAAGAAGTAGCTCTTTGGTGGGCCACCAGATATCCCCAAGGTAACGGATGTGCTGGAGGAATTCTTCCCCTGTCATCTGCTGGGCCTTCTCAAATGCCGCATCGCAGGATTCTTTGTCGTCCCATCTGTTGAGCTTACTTACTCGGCAAGTGAGGTTTGTCGTTACTTTAAATTTATGATCCCTATGATTAAACATTAAAGCTTCATTTTAGAAAGTACAAGGTGGACACAAAGTTCCTGACGATTTCAAACCTTTATTGCGACACCATATTTTAATCAACACCAAGGATATTATACATCAATGGAAAGCCTAACTCATGACGTTTTTAACCGCTTTCGTAGAATGAGAATCGCAGTAGTGGTATTGTTTTATCCGCCTGATGGCGCGCCAACCCACTTTTGAGATCGCGCGCGCTTCGCTTTTCCCCACTCAAAATTGAAAGGTCACTCCTGAATCATGTTCACGGCGCAGCAAAAAGCACGGCTTGTGCTCTGGTATGCAAAATTTGAGTCTGCAACTCCAGTGCAAAGTGAATTTGCAAGATAATTAAATGTCCAAGTCAGAGATGCTCCATCCAGAGGCTCCATTATTGACTGGCATCAAAAGTTCGTTGAAACAGGTAGCGTTAAAGATCGCCATCGCAATGGTAGGCCGAGTGTCTCAGAACAAGATGTTGGAAGGGTACAAAATTCATTTCAGGATAGTCCACCCCTGTCCCTACGTCGCGCTAGTGAACATTTGCAGAGGCCCAAATCAATAATCCATACAGTTTTGAGAAAGATATTAAAGCTAACTCACTGGGGAAATCTTAGGAATCGGATCCGTGACACCATCGTGAACATTCCAAAAGCAATGCTGCAGGACGTGTGGAGGGGAATGGAGTACCGACTTGATATCTGTCGTGCCACTAATGGAGATTATACCGAAGATCATTAAGGTGAGTTTTAAATGTTTCAGGAGTGATTCTCAATTTTGGGCAGGTAAAAGCGAAGCGCGTGATCTCAAAAGTGGGTGGGCGCGCCACATGGAGGAGGAAAAAAATACTACCACTGCGGCTTTCATTCGGCGACAACGGTTAAAAACCTCATGAGTTAAGCTTTCAATTGCTGTACAATAACCATGATGTTAATTTGAAAATGGTGTCGTAATAAAGGTTTGAAATCGTCAGCGACTTTGTGTCCGCCCTGTATTATCGGAATCGGCGATTCAATGATGGGAACTCACTTTAAATTATCACAAATACTGATGGCATTGTCAGCAGCATCGATCTCTTCGATGAAATTTTTGTACACGATATCAAATATCTTGTCCACCTTTTCATCTTTGATTTTACAATTCAAGATTTTACAGATGATAGCATGGCCATAGTGATTATACACTAGCCCTGCGCTACTCATGGGGGTTGTCGGCTTCTTCTCTGGACGAAGTGTGCTCAGGGTGTGTGCGAATCCCCTTGAAAAGTCAACATGACTGCTTAGCGTTTTCAATGCGGAAAAGTATAAGACTGAAGAATATATATGATACTTATTTTTGCTTTAGCCAGTTACCCAAGTAGCAAAGGATCATCCCTGGGACATTCAGAGAGCCTCTGAATGCTCCAGGAATTTCCATATCCCAGGACGATTTCATTATGACATCCATGGGATGTCATTTTCTCCCACGTAGGATCCAAATGGCATGTCCCAGGGATGATCCCTTGCTACTTGGGTAGTTAACATTTTCATCAGTACCATCAATGTCAGGGTTACCTTTGATGGTGATCATATCGACGTTTTGAATGATCGTAAATGCAGCCCACGTCCACCAGAACGTCACATGTGCGAAGAACTTCTTCGTCTCTTGTTCTGCATAAAAATAATTGGAGCAAACGCGACTGAAATTCATGAAAAAAATTGGCATTCATAGTAAAGGTATGAGGACATTCTAAACGAGATCATGAGGGATTTTTCCCATAGAAATATTGTTCTAAACAATCTAAAGGAAACAAGTCCTTGAAAAATGTCCCTGGCTTCTGGAAAGCGCTTCATAGTAATGAACATTCGTGAGGGGAAATACTAAAAAGCAGAAGTTAGTCATCCAAATTCATTGAGAATTGTACCCTTTGGTAACCTGGTGTATTACTTTCATACCATAAGAGTTTCCTTAGATATATATGTTCTAAATACCATGGGTAACATTGAAAATGGAAAATTTTACTTTCCTAGATCACACAGTTCTTGAGACTTTTCCATTAAAAATTGCACAAAATACCAAAAATTACCGTATGTGCGCAACAAAATAGGCAATTACTGAAGTCAATTCTTGAAATTTAGTATGAACCAAGCGAACGCTCTAAAAAGGAAATTTCCAACTGGCTATGGACGCGTCCTTAACGCTCAGTGATACGAGGTACATAGATATTATTAATGCATTTAAAGCATCCGTTTTCGAAGCTCACCTCTAACGATGAGATCAAACCATTTGCATAATGGGTTTGGCCATTCTTGCTTCTTCGACGTTCAAACCTTCCAAAAAAAGTTACTTCAGGTAATATTTGTTGCGACGTAATATGAACACCAGACGGAGGATCGCCAAGTTAAAATTCAAGGCGTTTTTTAGTGTTCCTATAATGAATTTAATTCTTGCCGTTGATTCACATTCTTCCTTGCATAGAAATCTCCAGAAATATATAGCAGCAGACACGTGAATTCATTACTTCAGCGTTTCGACGAATAATTATTTGTGCCCTATGGGGAGTTTTATCGTTTTATTCATATCTACACGGTTTCATCCAAAAGGTTTAGAACATGAATTACCATTTTTTTGGGCTGGGGTCTTAGAGTTGCTTCTTGGAATCACTTTTAAAGTAGTCCTCTTGGGAATCCACATAGAGACTATCCAAATAAATGCAACGTGTGTACTTCTTGCCTTCCAATAGAGGAATTTAAGAGGTGCTTCCATAAGATGCAGGACTGCTGGCAGAGGTGTTTGGACTCCCAAGAGGATAACTTTGAAAGTGACCCCAGCAAATAAATCCAAGACCCTAGGTTACAAAAGATGGTAAGTAATTTCCTAAAACTTTCGGATCAATTCTCCCATATTCGTATACAAGGACTCTAAGGAAGTTCCCTTTTCAAAATTATTCATAAGGTTACACGCAGTTGTCCATGAGGAGATATTTCATTATGTAAAAGCAGCCCATACTTCTTCATGTCCCCATTTCGTTGGGGGAAGTGTGTGCGTGGAAATTACATTGACCGCCTTGGTCAATGTAATTTCCACGCACACATGGTCAATGTAATTTCCACGTCCATCTATTCATATCCGAGAAAAAGACTCTGACTTACCTAACAATTTTAGCATCTTTGTATTTTTCAAGCTGCTTCAGCATAAAGCAGGCGAGAGCCTCATCACAATGGAACTTTTCATCATGTGTCCCGATCTTGCATGGTTGGAAACGTTTTGCGCCATCTTTTACGTTTTCCTGGAGCGACTCCATCTTGGAAATTTTCCTATATTTAAATTTACCTGAGCGATGCACAGTGCAGGACAGAAATTAAGGGAGAGTTGACATGAACACGAGCCTAGGCGCCTATACATAGACCTGCGATGTACTCACCAAGCTAACAATATTTCTGGAACTGGATTCCTGGAAGAAAGGGAAAGACATTGCAAAGTTGGTTTTCGCATTGCTTCACATACATCATGGACGGGCCTGATATGAGTCTCATGAGGCCTAGGATACGAGAAGAGGTGAATGTGAATGCTAAACGAACTTACAACTGTTCGGTCTATATTCATCGCATCAGAAAGCGAAGGTCCTCAGTTACGATTAGGGCTGTACCGATGGCTACATTGGGCCGGTGGTTCGATTTTTTCCTCATAACCATCGACCGGTGCTGGTGCCGGTGCCGATTGTGGCCTGTAGATGAAATCCCCTTTAAATTCAAATAGGTCTAATTGGAAGCCACACACAGCACGTGTACGGTAAGGAAACAAGAAAAAAATGAAGTTACCAGTCCAAAAACCACCCTCAAATCCTAGTTATATTACCATCCAGGATGGTCATGTAACCATGCCCTGGGGGTTATGTTTTTGTACCAGTAACTTCACCGTTTCTTGTTGCCACACTGCTCTCCTGCTGTGTGCGCGGTAACCTTACTATGCCTTAGGAATGCATCTATACCGACCGTATTTGAAGGTAATGTAACAAGGCAGTCAGTGTTATTTTTGGACTAGTAGCATCATCGTCATCTTACATTATTATTTTATCTTCAAAGGTGTCCATGTTATGCCCTCTTTAAACAGAAAAGAAGGTTAAGGAGGTGATTCCACACACCTATTAGAACTGGAAAACTTAGAACCCGTTTAGAATGAAAAAATCAAGTCAAGATTCTATTGACTGAGGATTATCTTCATTCCGAGATAATGGTCCCTGTAATGCAATGAAAGGGAAGTAAATTGAATATCCGCTTGAAATCAAGGCTAACATTACACTTTAAAAATGTTCATTCTGATTTTGCATCTGTTAAACCTCCACAGAATCCAGAAATATCTCAACTGAAAAAAAATTATTGCAGATGACATCGAAATTACCAAGCATAAATGGTAAACACCCTAGTTTCTGACCGGTTTCCAGTTGTTGGCCAGCGAGGCTTAAATTCAGCATAGTTAATCTGAACGATTTCAAGCATTCTATCAACATCTTCCCGTACGAGGACCAATTACTAGTGCTTCCCGGTGTGCACACAGGGTGTCCACTTCCCATGGGAGTCGAATCAGCATGGCCAAAAACTGGGGCTTAATTGACAAAAACTGGGGCGTTTACCCTATGCAATATTCAACTTTCAAAAGAAATGAACAAAGTCTCATTTGATTCAATGGTGCAACAATTAGAGAAATTCTTACCCTTTAAAAAACTTATAAATAATATGCTCACACATTCGCCATACAATCCATTCCTAGGTCATTAAGAAGTTCTCAGTCTCACTAAGAAACCATGCATGCACAGACATTGTTTTTCTATTAGCCTTCCATCAAAAGACCTCCATGTTCAATGACTTGCTCCCAATCATCATGCAACATTCTAAGACCGGAACCATACCAACTTGCTATCCAGCCATTTTTGTAGTCAACTTCAGCACATTGTCCCCCAAAACCCCTCTCTTAAAGGTTTTTTTTTTATAGATTTGCAGACACGTACCAGCCTGTTGTAGCTAAGAATCTAGAATAAAGTCTAGATAGGACTCAAATTATGTGTATATCTGGAAATAAACTTTTAAGAAAGGCATTTAGGTGCCAAGAATGAGATGAAATGGACCAAGCAAGAAAGGCTAGAGCAGGATTACTTGTATGAATCTGGCATTAGAATGCTGCATTATTTTTGGGAGCTAGTCATTGAACATGATTGCCATTACACCATTGCAAAGATTGACAGTAAAATAAGACCTGTGCATGTTTGGCTTCTGTGTGAGGCTTGAATGACTTGGTATGTGAATATGTAGGAGCAGGAGAAATGGGTTCCTAAAATTATCTAGACTTGGGATTATCTTTTACTCTAGAACATTACTTCTGCAATTTCAAATACTCCTATTTACTTCAAATCAAACAGCACTATTTTGCTCGATAATTTTGTCTATCTCTAATTGAAAATCTGTTCACCATTCAAGAAGAGGTTTCTTGCAGTGATCCAAATCTCACCACCACAGAGAGGTTTTCAGAGAGCTTGAACTAATATATGACAAGCAAACATCTCTCCAGGTTTATTGGGCAGTCTCTATCAAGGAATATGAAATAAGCTAATGAGAATATTCCAGAAGAGATGCAAAATTTAAGAAGCCTCTTTGTACATCTCCTAAGCAAAAGGGAATTCCCTTTCAAGAAAGGTATGATATTACTTTTTAAATCCTCATATATTTGCATCTGATATGAACTTCAGAATCTTTATTATGTATATGAAAATTTACTTTTAGCCAAAAAAAAATTCATGAGAGCAAGAATTCTCAACTCTACGTGTCCAATAGTATGGTGATTAAAGCTCTTGAAAATAAATGCCAGCAAGTTATGAACATTAATCAGGGAATCAAGCTAGCCCAAGCATCAGCATGCATGCCCAATCGTTGAATCTCAGCAATAATAGTGACGTTTCCCCTATTAGTCAAAAAGTCAAACTTCTGCCCTTAGCATGGGCCTCAGCTGATTGCAAACTAAGAAGCATTATGCTCACTGATATATCATATGTTACTTAGCTTCCAGACCTTCCAGGTCATGCTAAATAAATAAGTTTATGAAATCAATGACATGTACTCAAGTGAGGAATTAAGAAATGGCTGATGTATGATTTTGATCCATAATGGGAATAAGCTAGGCAATCTGGAATCTCTTCACTACATTAGGTCATCTATAACTGGACTGCACCTACAATTTCAGGATCTCATTCACCTAAAAATATAATGAAGTGGGAGCTTAGTAGGAAACCTTGGAGAGAATTCCTTAAGATGAATAATCAATAAGTCCAGGCAACAATAAAAAAAAGCCTACCTACATGATAAGCCAAGGACTGGCCAAGCCAGACAAACTTCAGTGTCTGAACCCTCCCAGATGGGGTGGGTGTATGCTTATAGGCACCAATCCATTCAACTTTCAGTTGGCAGCATACTACCTACACCAACACTGTAATACAGATGCTTTTTTCCTACATATTCCCATGGTATTACATGAAGTTTTCTGGAAGTTTAACCTTAAGGATGCCAAATTCACCACATTATAAGAAGCTGATGTTACATTCTAGCATTTCATAGTCAAATGCTTGATCGTCAAAATGAAGGTAAAATAAGAGTTCATGTTTAATCCCTAAACTGCTAATATGACTAGTAGCATCGGTCTGTCCCTCTATAAGGCTGTCAGTGGCTAGCTTGTTACCCATTGCTGCCGTTGAGAGCATTTAGTGACACATCACCTGCCAAAGCATGACGTAAATGCAGATGCAATGATTTCCCATTCTTTAACGCTACCATCCGCCGCCGGCTACCCTAATCCGGATGAAATATAACCTCATCTATATATTTGCCTGGGAGAGGCTGGCAGGAGTGGCCGAAGTGAGTCAAAAGGGCCGGCGCCCTGCCGCATTCACACCCTCAAGGGATTTTTTTTCGCTTTGTCCTTCCTTTGGGGACCGGCACCGGCACCAGCGCCATAGGCTGATGGCCGATGGCACTGGTAGTGCAACACCGGCGGCCGATACCGGTGTTAGCCGACACATTGATACAGCCCTAGTTACGATAGAACTATTATGGAGACTATCCAGATCAAACGCTTGAACCTTTCACGAAACGTGGGCCTTAGCTAAGACCCATCGAGGCCCACAGGATCATATTTTGGCAATCCTTAATGAAGAAGCACTGAATGATCACGTTATATCAAATGAGGCACTTGGAAAGCCAGAGGGCCATGACGAAGTGCAAACGAAGTGAAAAGAAACTCGAGTTTGTTTCCTGAAGGGCAATAAGGCAGTAGTCCACAGAGCATTATGAACGAGACCAACAGAATCCCTGGAATTCACTTGCCGAAATGGTCATTACACGAAAATGCCGACCAAAACCATAAAATATGAACTTCAGAAAACCCAGTGAACTTATGTTTTCTGAAAGCTCAAAGATTAATCTTTCATGCTATAACAAGACTGATCGAGTGTGGCAGCGTTGAAGTCTCTTACTGCGAAGAATACGAAGAGGCATTCGCATGAGACAAGAAAGTTTCTTGATTAGGTGTGGTTCAAATTAAATGCTACTGTTTAAATGATTGAAAATTGGGTGGGTTTTAACAAATGCATTATCACTTCTTACACAGCATACTACTTCGATTTTAAGATTCGCTTCTGCCTCGAGGATTTGTATCATATTCCTGTTATGTGAATAACGTTTTTCGCTTAACTTCATCCTCCCATCAAAACCATTCATGTTGGAAAACATCGTTGCCAGGAAATATCCATATTTACTGGTGGGACTGAAAATCACATTTTGGCTCGCACTCTAATAGCTACGTTAACAATTAATTCCGTTATTCCCACAACTCCGGATCTTCGTTATTCACATAACCTGCGAGACAATTTCAAATGCTGACGAATACAGCTGTTTTCTAGAGATAATTGTTTAGGTGCTATTCATCGTATGTTACATATGATGCATTACTAATCAGGCCATAAACGAACGATCAGTGGCAGGCGACACGGCGGCAAAATAAGAGTGAGGAGAAGGCAAGCATTAAGACAAAGGAAAAAGAATGCATTAAGGCACTCATGGAACGCAAAAAGAATGAGAAATCAATTAAGATGAACCATAATGATATTACACACTGGTCCTGGCACGCTCTAGGCAGAGAAAGAAGGCCGCTGTAGGTATGACCTTATAGTTCATACATCGCGAGATATTCATATGCATCTGAAATTTTACCTTCTTGAAAGGGGTGACTCGCCCAGGCCAGCCGTTTCCCTTGTCTCCCTATCCTCCCAGAGAGAAATAGGGGCTATTAAATGAATTTTCCTAGTCAGGTCTCCTCGCTCGACAGGGTGGCTCAGTTGATACTGCATCAATATTCTGATTGCAACTTTTTTTATTTTGATACTGGTAGCAGAAACCTTTTTTGGCATGCAATATAGTTTGAACAACTGGATATACCTCGTACATATCAACCGTATACTCGAGTTGGCCCAAATAGTAGTAGTAGACAGTCGCAGTAGTTGTAATTTTTTGCCTGTAAAAGGAGTAACTTAATTCATATTCCTCCCACAGAGGAGACACAACAAGAGCATGGGCAAGCATATGCAACGTCGTTGTCTATTGGGAAAGCGAAGGCTAAGATGATAAGTCTCCGCACCATAGCCCTTGCAAAAAAAAAAGAAGACAGTGCTACATTATATTCTGTTTCCCAAAGCTAGAGGCAAAAGGTAACATCGAGAATTTGGAATGTCAAAGCATGTACTCTGGCAAACTCCTGCAATATTCATGGGTGCTGAAGCCAACTAGAATTGAAAGAAAATGCTCAACTAATTAATAATAACACGACATTTGGCGATCCTTCATTTCGTTGAACGGAGTTATGTGAATGACGGTTATGTGAATACCGCGTGCATTCATAAACAAATTCGTCGTAGTCTCTTTGTATAAATATTCTTAAATCCAAAATGTAATATGTTGAAGTGCATAGAATCCTGATCAAGATGACATAGCAAGAAATGACGCACGTATGAATAATCAGAAAAAAAATTTGTATACAAAACTCCCTATATTTGCTTGGTTGCTTTTTTGTTATAAGAATAACGCGATTTCATTTAGGGTCTATGAGGTTCGATTTGGGGAGATAATGAGAATAAACAACTGGACAGCATGCGACGAGAACCCTTCTATAAAGGAAAGTGAAAATATGGATGCCTACGTTGAGCGACATTGCGCCATTGACTTTTTTCGCTTCTGAAGTTATGTGAATAACAAAGAAATTGCCCGAGAGCAAGTTCAAGCTGAGCCTAGCCACGGGTCTTATTGCCCAAGTATTAGGTTCACCATATTCAATCACCCGTATTCAACGTGAAGAGGCATGCGCGAAATTCCCGGAAATCATTTAACTCCTCTCAAAGAGCAGCATCTGCCATACATGTTCGGATGGGCAAGGCCTCGAGGGAAGATGTATGCCCTGAAATAAGAAAAGGATAAGTCTAATAGCAAAATGAGTTCGATCGTGGAATAGAATCAACATCTAATCTGTGTTGATAGAGTGCAGGTGCACGTTCATTCATTTTCTAACAGATACCTAAGAAACATAAAACAGGTAAGAACAAATAACGGCGCAACGTATATTGCAGACTAAAATGAACTCTGAGCTCCATATCTTGTCTGAAAAGGATGTTTCATGAGACGAGCAATTTTGGAGATGCTTGAGAGAGACGGAACATTGCCTGACTTCCCGGAAGAGGTGCGAATGCAAAATTATAATTCCAGTTGCTTTTATAAATTCACTCGTGTTCCGAAACGTCCAATGTTTATATGTAGGTATATGTAAACGTCCAACAATATTTTTAGCTGCTGAGGCCAATTTCACGAAACCCAAAATGACGACATAAAACGAGCGTGAAAATAGCCTCTATACGGCATTTAATGAGACTGTTTATTTGGCATTCAAATATATAGACCATTGAACAAATCACGTTTTAACTAATTAGCTTTTTAAGCGATGTTGACATATTCACCTATTGGTGTCTAGCAAAACAAAAGCGGAAGCAGACGCGTACAGGGAAGGCGATCTTCGCAAGCAAAGTGGATATTTAGCAAGAACGCATTTGGCCTTGAAAAAATCTACAAGGGAATCTAAACGCAATACCCTCCGCATGAGAATGCGAGGCGGCGGAGACGAAGAATTAGAAGCCGCAAACGGGTCTCAGCCGAAGTGAGCCTTACTATAGCGGATCAACACGCAACAATGCACGCCGCTCAACCACCTGCGAGAAGGCTACGCGCTTGCGCAATGACCGACGTGAGGGGAGTTAGTGCCAATTTAGGAACAGCTTCTGATCCAAACGAGATGCTATGTTTGAAACGTTGTTTTCTCGACGTANAGGGGCGAAAATGCAAAAAGTAATCAGACCATTTTATAGAGGAGATTCTCCCGAGTGAATAGGGATAAGAATTACCATTGTCAGTACTTGGTACGTCGAGAAAACAACGTTTCAAACATAGCATCTCGTTTGGATCAGAAGCTGTTCCTAAATTGGCACTCACTCCTCTCACGTCAGTCATTGCGCAAGTGCGCAGCCTCTCCCCTGATGGCTCCGGTAATAAGAGGCTTCCCTCAATACGTGAGTAGAGGGTAGCGGCTGGGATCGCAGTCTGCCCTAGTCCGGTCTCGTCCTAGAGGAAATTTTCTCTCCAGGCGCCGTGGTCCTCCGAATATCAGGGTTGCCAGATTACTTGTATGCTTACCCCTGTCATTTCGGCGAATTATATAGATAGGTTGGGACTTGCAGTATTGAATTCCTTCGTGACAATTAGGAATTTATTCCTGTTATAACTTACGCACTCCACTTTTTGTTTTCGGCATTCCTTCTTCGATTGCATCACCCTTCACTCCCACTCTCTCCCCCCCCCCCCATCCCATTTTTTGACAATATCTAACCTAATCGTTGAAAATTTGTTAAATATTTGTATGCAATATGTGAACTCTCTTGGTTTAGATCGGAAAGGATATTTGGTGTTAGCTATCTGACAACCCTGTCGGTTATGAGATGGATGACGTCATCAAAGCCTATGAAGCTTTCCCGTCATTCGAGACTTTCGCTCTCTAAGTGGCCTAGCAGTGCGCGGCAGCGCACTGCTAGGCCATGGACGGGAAGCCGGTGAGTTTGGGAAACAATGCCACCTGGTCCGCACTCAACAATGAACCGTGGAGGGCTGCCTCGCTTCTCCCTCCTTTATCTCGAAAACATTTCTATTAACCAGAAATTCTGCCCTGACAAAATTTGTAGCTCCAGGTCTGCCCTAGCCAGTGGTATAATTGTTGGGAGCTTTTCAGCATATTCAAACGTACGCAAAGGATAATGCCTCTGTCATGTACCTCCCTTTCCATTAGACCCCGTCCTTCTCCCCCCTACATCTCGACAATGGCATGTTTGACGAAAAATCACTTTCTGACATGACTTGTAGTCTAGATTCCACCCTAACCGATGGTATAAATGTTGAAGCTGTGCGCCTTCATTTACTCATTCGGTATTTTATGAAGGGAGGATACCTTTTCTCCCCTCCTTCCAAATTTTTTTTTCTCTGGCGCCGTATCTCCAAGCTGAGCCTAGCCACGGGTCTTATTGCCCAAGTATTAGGTTCACCATATTCAATCACCCGTATTCAACGTGAAGAGGCATGCGCGAAATTCCCGGAAATC